CTGAGACTCAGACTTAGTGCAGGCAGGCAGATTCCAAGTTGAGGTCTCTCTCTTCAGTGTTACAGGTTTCCAGGCAAGTCAGGTTCTGAGAGACAGGGAGAAAAACCGGGTCAGACAGGTTCACAAGAAAAATACAGAGATATGATCAGGCAGGTTGGCTCAGGTCTAGCTGTACCATTACTGGCTAACACTCTGGCGCCGGAGTATCAGTCTCCTCCTCCTTAAATAGGAGTCCTCTTGATGAGCAGATGGAAGACAGGTGTTGCAGGTCAGCACAAGCCCTCAGGAAGGGATCCTCGGCGCCCTCTGGTGGGCAAGCCTCCGGATCCCAACAAGAAAAGTAATCTAACAGAGGCTGGAAGGCCATTTATAAAAGATATTTCCCTAAAAGCAAGTTTTATTTCTAAAGAAAGGTTTTATCTTTCATTTCCTTTTATTTATTCAGTTTTAAGCGTAAATTGGCTGTGCTATCTGTTCGTCAATGAGCTGTTGTTGTTCTTTTGGTAGCAGATAAATGGTTTCGAATAGTTAATTTTTTTTTTCTTCAAATCCCAAGTAACAGAAGAGACATGTTTGACTGTATCAATTAAAATAGTCCTTGGAAAAGATTCTAAAAGATGCTGATTTCCTGTATGAAAGTGGAAACTGTTGTAATATTTGTATACGGTAAATTAGATCACTGAATAAACTCTACTGTGAGTTGAGTGACTTGTTTATGCTGCTTTTCTGAACATTTGCAAACATTTTACTAATGATTCGCGATGTAACTGTTTGAATAACTATCAGTCTTTTTACCAGCTGTATAACATTGAGTTTTATTTTCCCATCCACATCATTTTCTGGGTACAGGCCGAACTAAAGATCGTTTTACACATTATGTACGAGCTAAGCTACAGGAAAATGACAAAGCTAGCTTAACGACATCAAAAATTTCATGACAAAGTTATCTAGTGATGAAAGAAACTGTTGCAGACGGATTCGATTAATTCAAGTGTTTATCAAACTCTTGTTATTCAACATGACTAATCCAGCTTTGCTATTCAGGAATGAATTGAACATTTAATTCTAAGATCTTGGATTAAATTGCATCTTTTAGCCACAACAACATCAACATGTCTCAGACTAATACAGCAATTATCTATGAGTCAGTCAAATAAGTGTAAAGTAGCCTTTAGTTTT